CACAGGCAGTTGTGCTTGCTGTGTGTATGCCTCTAGGCTCATTAACTGCGGTCAAGCCAGCCGTTACTAGGGTGGCTATTCGTCCGGCTTTAGGCCGGACAGTCCGGCTTTTAAATGTCCTGTCCAGCTGCAGGCGCAGTCTTAAGCCGGACACTCATCTGTCCTCCTTTTGAGAAAATAACAAAAAACCTTTTGACACATTACCTCGTTAGTTTAATACTTATTGGCTAAAAATGTGTGTCAAAATAAGTAATTTCATTGGTTACATTTTCGTGTCATGACCTATCAACACACTAATTTAAATATTCAAATGAGCCATGTGTTGATTGGCCACAACAGTGCTCATGCAGTTGCTACCAGCAGGCTGTCAATCAAGCTCTCAGACAGAGAACATAACCTTAGCTAACTCCGGTTGTTGGTAAATTTCTCCAAATTGGTACAGTAAAAATGCTTGATAAGAAGTAAACTTGTAGTCTTATATTTGTAGAAGTCAAATATACCATCCATGGCGAGGAATTATTGAGCTGTTTTTACAGTACCTCAAATATAAGAAAAGATGCAACTTGGAGGTACAAATATGGAACTTTTGTTTTGGCATTTCTCCACATTGGTGCAGTAAAAATGATTGATATTAAGTATGTTTTTGATTCATCATGGTCGCATGAAACACTTTAATTTAACATGTTTTATTTTAAATGTAGGTTACTGTTCTTAACAGCTTTATTTTGAAAACCGGAAGTGAATACGCTGTTTCTCCACAATTACCATAAAGCTGAGAATATAACACTTATATATATATAACACTCGAAATTGTGAGGCTGATTTGACCACAGAGATCAGAGTAACGGCTGGCTTAACCACAGTTAATGAGTCTAGAGGCACAGGAAGTACAACTGACTGTGCTTAACCTAAGGTTTCTTTTTTTTCTTTTTTTCCCCATGTCCCTTTAGGGGCTCCGTACTAATTGTTATCTAGACATTAAAGAAACCCTCACTCTGAGTTAATATTGGATTTATTCTCTTCTGCAACCTGCTCATCATCAAACACCGACTAGTTTACAAACCGATGTTTGACTCAACTGACGATGTGATGTCATCAGTAGACTTAAAAACAGGAACAACTACTTCATCATGAGTAGTTCATGTTTCTGCATTAAATAAATCACTTCATTGTTCCATCATTATTTATTATCAAACACTGATGATTTAACTAATGGAGTGTTTGACCTGTGGTTTCTTTTTTAATCAGCTCTTGATAACATGCACACCAAGCAAAGTTTCCAGACTCTGAGAGATGAACTTGAAGCTGTGAAAAGAAATCTCACAGGTAATCCAGTCAGGTTTAGAAACTGTCTAAAAAGGTTCAGTCTACAAGTTAAAAGTCTACTTTAACCTACATTTTGGAAACACTGCAAGATACTTTTAAAATGTGACATCTCACATCTCAGATTGTGTTTGAAACTGTCTAAAAGATTTAGTCCACAAGTCTCTGCAAGTCTCATTTTGTGTTAAACTGGATTGTTTTCAGTTATGACAGGTGGACCCTGATATTGATCTGTTAATTATCAGCTGACTGTACTGTGAAAGAGTTTCAGGTTCAGGTTCATAAATAAGAGACGATCCTGATGAAAGATTTTCATAACAGAGAGACGCTGTGAAGTAAAATCATGCAACACGGTGCAGCAAACCAGCCCACAACCTCCTGTAGTAAAAGAAAGAAAGTGATGGATTTTGCCTTTCTTCCATGTTTGCATCCTCTGATGATGATTAAAGAACCAGTGATGTATTGACAGATACAAGAAGTCAGATTGGCAGTATATATACCTGTGAAGTAGAAAACTGTTGCCTCTGTCTGATTGTCTCAGCTGCTCTCAGATTCAAACTCGTTCATCTCAAAGTTCCTGCTGCTTCCAAATCACACAAATATAAACAGTGATCTGTTTCACCTGACTCAAGTCTTTACTGTGATCTCTTCAAAGATGACCCATGTCCAAAATGTGAATACGGCTGGGAGCAGCATGGAAGACAGTGTTATTATTTCTCCACTGATTATTTAACCTGGAGTGAGAGCAGGGATGAATGTCGACAGAAAGGAGGAGATCTGGTTCAGATAGACAGCAGAGAGGAGCAGGTAAAACACACTGCTGCAGGTTCATGGAGCTCACTGGCTTTATTCTCATTTGTTTTATCACATCCTTGTGTTTCCACATTAGTTAACATGGTCTCTCAGCACAGAAAAGTCATGTTACATATTGTGTTCTTCATCAACGTTTCCTGTCCAGACATTGCTGGAGCTGAAACTGAGAGGAAGAATGAACAATGAATGGGACATGTTCTGGATCGGACTGACAGACTCAGAGAAAGAGGGCACTTGGTTGTGGGTAGACGGCTCACCACTGAACGAGAGGTTTGACTGTTATAAATATATTTTTTGTCAGTTTCGAAAATCAAAGCTATCAGTTTTATTGAACCATTTTCTTTCTGTTCTCTAACTCTTAGTTTGACATTTTGGTTCCCCGATGAGCCAGATAACTGGTCATGGTATGATCCTGATGATGCGGACTGTGTGACGATTGGAAACAGAGCAGAACCTCCTGATCTGAAATGTTGGTTTGATGAATCCTGCAAATATACTCGCAGAAGGATTTGTGAGAAGCCAGCATAACATGACCATTTTACTATTCAGTGTGTCTGAACTGTAGTTTAAATGAAGTCTCAGTCTGTTAAATAATCTTAGTACAGGATACAGAATTTGGAGCAGTTTTATTTTTTTTTATATATGTAATGTTAAAATAAATTAATAAATAAGGAAAATATAAAAATTGCAGTTTGTTTAATGTGCCCAACAATACTATTATATATTATATCATCAGACTATAGTTACTCATGTATTAATGGAAAAGCAGCTTTTTACTGTCATAGTTTGTTGAGGTGGAGCTTATTTCTAACTGTTATATATCATATTATTATATTAATTGCTGTCCATATATATGATTATTTTCACAATTCAATGTTTTCACATGAAGAATGACTTAAACCTTTATCACCAGTTTATTTTCTGTTTATTAACTGATCATTTCTGCTGTACTTGTATACTGTTGGGTAGTTACATTTATAATAAAACATAAGTCTCTGTATCTTTGTATGAAAAATGTTCCTATTGTAAAGTAACTAGTAATTAAAGCTTTAAAGTAGTTATTTAAAAAAGGTTTATTACCAATCCAACATCAATGATTAGTAAATACAATAGAAACTGTTTGCTTTAGTAGATGGAAGAATCAGAATCAGAATCAGAAATACTTTATTGATCACCGGGGGTAAATTTGTTTGTTACAGTTGTTCTACTCACAAATGTCAAAGAATAGAAATAATACTTATATTACAATATCAAACACAATACATAGAATAGAAATGTATGTATAGGTATATACATATAACTCAAAAATAAATATAAAAATGTAATAATAATGTATAATAAGAGCTTGTAGACAGTGTATTTATGTCAATTTTGTTTTTGTTTCCATTGTAGGTTACTATAGTGCAGTGGTTTTCAATTCTTTTCTGTCAGAAATGTTTTCACGCCCCCCTGAATTGAACTACTATTGAGAACCTGATCAGATTTATTTATTGATCTGTACAAACCACTGTATGAGTTGCTGGCACCAGCATTCTGCATAAAATCACCTGATTATCAAAATAGATGAATAAAATGAGCTGAGATAACATCTGCAACAACTTCAAACACTTTCCAAGTTCAGTTTATTAACTCACTTTGTAACATTTAAACAAGACTGCTCAGTCTGTGTGATTCTTTTTCCGTTTCATGCTGTCCGCTGCCAGAGTTTTGGGGCATAAAACACACACACAGGTCTTTCCTCATTTCCGACCGTATTCACGGTAAACCCAAGGGCTATGTAGGTGTCGTCGTATTTCCTGCTCTTATTAGGTTTATGCCGGTTACCGTCACTTGCATTTCTTGCCACTGACGCCTGCTCCGTTTTTCTTTTCACTCCTGTCAGAAACTTCTCCATCTCTCCTCCATCTTCTACTGGGTTGAGCAGGCAGCCTGTTGATTAGTTTGAGCACTGCTGCCACCTAGTGACTGGAGGCTTGTTTATCGTTCAAGAATGAATAAAGACACTAATACTGAAAGTCCCTCCTGACTGATATAGTGTAGATTTATCTTCTGATCTTTATAGTTTTCTTGTTTAATTGACACTGTGTGATTTTAAATGGTTTGTTTTCATACTTATTGTTTTTTGTGTGAACTCCAGGAAGACCAGCAGCCACTTTGTAGAAGTTAACGTGGATCCAAACACAGAATAAAGAATTTAGATTATTCTTTGATAATGTATTAAAAGCTAGCCTTATTATTTGTCTGCATGCTCACCATGAGGTCTGCAGGGTGAGGCAGTTTTGAAAGTGACATCACAGAATATCAGATGGAGCAACGTCTGCGGCCTCGGTGTTACAGGATATGAACCATTTGTTTTTATGTAAATTAAAGTAAATAGAAATAGTTATTCAGAAATAACTAGACAGTTTGAGAGAGTTGAGATAAAGCCTCCTCCCCATCTTAAAGAGCAACAGGAAGTTTTAAAAGAAGAAGCTGATGATCTACACTGATGTTCAGATAAAACACAGAGCAGGCAGAAAAGTCACTGGTGAGTTTTGAATGTTTTAAATATGTTGCTTAATGTATCAGGTTATCCTATCTATCTAAAATACCAAATACTTCCTAAAGCAGTTTTTATTTGTTCTAACTGGTAAACTTGATGTCCACAGTGACACAAATTATTTCTGCATTTTGGTTTTGTGCTTTTTGTCACAGAGAAAGTTTCCTCATCGACTGACAGCACTTATTCAGCATCTGGAATCTGACACAATGAGCCGTCCACAGAGCTACATAGAAGGTAATAACCAGTGAATAAGATAAAGTATATGTTTATTAATCCCCGTAGGAGAAATTCAAAACTAAGTAAGTACATTTTTGAGGCACTTTACTTTACTTGCGTATTATTTTCATGCTACTTCTGTCACTACATATCAGAAGGAAATATTTTTATTGCACTATATTTATGTGACAGCTTTAGTTACGAGTTTGTTTGCAGATTCAGATTATTAATACAAAATAAAAATAAACTAATAAACTCTGATGTATTGTTACAGATGAAGCTACAAATCAATGTATAAAGTATTTAAAATGATCACCATCTTTTCCAACTCTAATTTCAGTTGTACATTAATGCATCGATATTTAAAATACAATACAATACAAAAACCTTTGAAACTTTAAGTATATTTTGATGCTCATGCTTTTGGACTTCAGAAACAAAAAAATTGAATGCAGGATTTTTCCTTGTAACAGAGTATTTCTACCCTGTGGTATTTGTTACTTTTACTTCAGTGAAAGTTCTGACTTCTTCTTTCACCTCATAAATGCGTCAAGTCCAAAACTATTCTGAGGTTTAGTGAATTTGTCGAAGACAGAGTAAGTAACCAGTGATGTATTGACAGATACAAGAAATCAGATTGGCAGTATATATACCTGTGAAGTAGAAAACTGTTGCCTCTGTCTGATTGTCTCAGCTGCTCTCAGATTCAAACTCGTTCATCTCAAAGTTCCTGCTGCTTCCAAATCACACAAATATAAACACTCAAGTCTTTACTGTGATCAATTCAAACACAAACCACGTCCGAAATGTGAATATGGTTGGGAGCAGCATGGAAGACAATGTTATTATTTCTCCACCAATTATATAGAGTGAGAGCAGAGATGAATGCCGACAGAAAGGAGGAGATCTGGTTCAGATAGACAGCAGAGAGGAGCAGGTAAAACACACTGCTGCAGGTTCATGTAGCTCACTGGCTTTATTCTCATTTGTTTTATCACATCCTTGTGTTTCCACATTAGTTAACATGGTCTCTCAGCACAGAAAAGTCATGTTACATATTGTGTTCTTCATCAATGTTTCCTGTCCAGATATTCCTGGAGCTGAAAGTGAGAGAAAAAACAAAAACTTCTGGATCGGACTGACAGACTCAGAGAAAGAGGGCACATGGTTGTGGGTCGACGGCTCACCACTGAATGAGAGGTTTGACTGTTATAAATATATTTTTTGTCAGTTCAAAATCCATAAACTGTCTCTCAACATACGACTGCACTTGCAATTACACCTAACTGAAACTAAATGAAAAGAAGTTAAAATAAACAATTCCTCAAACTGCTTATTGTATAACAATGAGGAAGAATATTGGTCCACTTCTTTAAATGTCCCTGTACTGCCCCCTTCTGGAGAGCTGCTGATCATGGCAACCAAAAGAAAACACAATACATGGTCATTGTTGACAGCTGAGGTTGATACAGATGCACTTCCTCCTATAATGTCAAACATTCGATAATATAAAGAGCATTTATTTTAACAAAATAAACTCTGTAATCCCAGATTTCAACGATTTAAATGACCACTCAAAATTAAAACATACATTTGTATTTGTGTGTTTTATTTATATTTATATACACTTGCTTTGGCAACATAAAAGTCTGTTTCCCATGTCAGTAAAGTCCCTTTGAAATTAACTGAATCAGATTTACATTCACTTTGTTCCGGTACGACCAACATACACTACAGCTGATATCCTGAATACAGCAAACTCGTTCTTGGACCGACTGACATCCTCCCAGTGGGCTGAGCTCCAGTCCGGATCCCTAAACTGGGAGACGGAGACTATTGTTACAGAAATGTGTGTGGATGTAGTCGACACTATATCTAGAGAGTGTGTTGTCAGAAGACCAAGTCTGGGAGTGTCTGGGTGAGCATCAACTGTCCGAGCACAGGTAAGGTCACGGACATCGTGGTCAAAGAGGTGACAGAACGCCTGAACACAGACAGCGAGGAGATGGAATGGGTCCCAAAGAGAAACCAGGAGCACTCGGCCCACCTCTGGATCTGGAACCGAAACATCATCCTGTGTCCTTTTTTGACATAACGCTCGCTTCCCACCAAGTCCAGACAGAGGTGGACTCTTTTAAGAAGCTGATGTGGGAATGGCTGAACAAGCAGGCCCTGCAGCACGATAGATAGACGGACCACATGAGTATGGCAGTAAAGAGGATTAAAGGAGTACTGGTCAATCTGCCAACACTCACAGAGGGGCCCACAGGACAGGAAAGTGACACTGTGACACATGGTTGAAGCAGAACCAGCTTCAAGTATTGATGAACCAGCACAGCACGCCCTGTCCAACAGTGTATACAAATATAAATAGAGACTAAAAATGATAAGGCAAGGTAAGGGTTTAATACAAAGTCTCTTTCTTTTAGACATACACGGTTAATATTCAGGCTCATACCAAGTTCGGCCATACAAACACATGTGTACAGGACCTTATTCGAACTGTCCAACAAAAATGCATCAAGGATACCAGAACAAACACAAAACAAATCAAAATAGAACAAAACAAAAAAATAAAACAAGGCGTATAAATGGAAATCTAACACCAAATTTATATATTTAATCACAAATGTTTATACCGTATATAATTTCTGTTTATTCAAGATATAAGTGAAACAAAGATAACGTAAAGTGTTGGTATCTACTATTTTTACAATATTACCTACGACCCAAAGGTAGTTTTAATACAGTAACTATCAAGTTTATAGTT